CGTGAAACTATTCCTTGGAACGAAGAATAAGATCGGTTTTATAAATGGAGGAGTGTAAGAACCAACCAAGGATCATCCAGATCATGAGCAACGGCACCGAGTCAATGGCACTATGGTGTGGTGGATTTTGAATTCAATTTCTGATGAACTGGTGGATAATTTTGATTTGGCAACGAATGCAAAGGATATGTGGGATGAATTGCAGGAAAGGTATGAAATCAGCAATGCTCTGCAGATTTATCATCTTAGACATGAGGTAGCCACGATTTCCTAAGGTAATCTCATTTTTTCAGCTTACTATTCGAAGTTAAAGAGGCTGTGGGTTGAATTAAATTGTTTGGATCCGATTGAGGATTGTAATTGTAATTTCAGTAAGAACTTGACTAGAGAAAATCGTCATAAGCTTATGGAGTTTTTGAGTGGTCTTAATGATTCATACATTGGTGTTAGAGATCAAATACTTATGATAGGTCCACTTCTAAATGTTAGAAAGGCATACTCGATAATCAATGTTGAGAAGCAACATATAATCAATAAATTGTACGTGGAACCTATTGCTCAGAATGCTATGATGGTTCAAAGGAAAGGAATAGGCACATGATATCAGAATCATGGGAGTTCTTATAACAAAAAACAGAACAACTCAGGGGCAGGGTATACAAGATGTGGTAATAAAACTGCTTTTAAGGGATTAAGTAATGCAGGAAAGGAAAATAACTTCAGGATTGACAAAGCTTTGAAGAAACTGCAGAATTGTGATCACTGTGGTGGAACAGGACACTTAAAGGAAGGCTGTTTCAAACTGATTGGTTTTCCAGATTGGTGGAAAGGTCTTAAAGAAAAGGAGGCAAGCATTAGGAACAAGGAATTCAGCTAATAATACCAATGGAAGTGGAAAAGGGAGGCCAACCAAGCATTGAAGCTTTGATGAACATGATGAAAATGATGCAGCAGGAGATGTCAAGGATGAAAAGGCAAGTGAACTGCATCAGAACGAGAACAAATTAACTTTGCTCATTACCATGACTTCTCAGGTATGAGCATTCATCATGCTTTAAGCGCTTTGGATTTGACTACTTCTGAATTAGCATTGCTTTGGTTTCTGGATACTGGTGCTATAGGGCATATGACAGCTTTCTGAAACCTTTTAACCACATATAGATTAGTCTCTCAATTCACTCCGGTCACATTACCTGATGGTACTATAAAGTCAGTAGAACATATAGGGACTGTAAGACTTTCCCCAACTTTTGAGATAGAACATTGCCTTCATATACCATCCTTTAAGTACAATCTTCTTGCACTTAATAAACTGGCTTTCTCTTCCAAAATTGATTGTTTCTTTTCCACCTCTTTCTGTCTGTTCCAACCAGGTGACTAGAAAACTGGTTGTTGCAGGAAGGGTTCTCAACAGATTGTATGTGCTAGATTCAACTTCTTTTTCAGAGACCACCATCACCACCTTCATCCATATACACCTCAACTAGTCATTTATCTCACAGGTTTATACAAGACCTGCTCATTCATCTAGTCATCAGTCCAACTTGGCAGCTGAAAGTACTTTTTCTAAATGGCATATGAGATTAGGCCATGTTTCCAATACTGTACTTAGCAAACTCAGTTTCATTCCAACTAGTCAAGATTCTAGCAATTGTTGTCATGTTTGTCCTCTTGCCAAGCAACCAAGGTTGCAATTTCCAACTAGTTGTATTCAGACATCTCATGTTTTTTAGTTAATACACATTGATCTTTGGGGACCTTATAGCGTAAAATCTCTTAATGGTGCTTATTATTTCCTGACTATAGTGGATGATTATAGTTGGACTACTTGGACCTTTCTTATGAATACCAATACTCAGACATCAACTCTACTCAGAAATTTCATAAAAAAAGATACAAACTCAATTTGGCCAAACCATTAAGACCATAACATCAGATAATGGATCAGAGTTTACTTCTCTTGAAACACAAAGCATCTTCACTGATTTTGGCATTATACATCAATGTTCTTGTGTTTATACTCCACAACAAAATGGTGGTGTGGAGAGAAAACATAAACACCTTTTACAGATAGCCCGTTCCTTGCTTTTTCAATCGCATTGACCAAAAACATTCTGGGGGGATGCTACACTTACATCCACATATCTAATCAATAGATTGCCATCTGCTTTACTCAGTTGGAAAACTCCTTATGAGATTTTATACTCTAAACCACCAGACTACTCTCATCTAAAGATTTTTGGGTGTTTTTGTTATGCAACCAACACAATTCCACATAAGGATAAACTAGATCCTAGAGCTTTCAAGTCTGTTTTTATAGGTTATTCTATGGGACAGAAGGGGTACAAACTGTATGATTTGGATCACAAAAAGGTGTTTATTTCAAGAGATGTTATTTTCCAAGAGACTGTGTTTCCTTTTCACACAGTTTCTTCTACATAAGGTGATCCTGTCACTTCATCTCTCGCTTCTGTTGATCCTTTTTGCTTAGATTGGCATTCTGTTGATCCTAAACGTCTTACATCAGATTCAATTCCACAAACTCCCATACCTGATTTCCACACTAATGCCACACCACTGATAAGTCCTCAGTCTTCAACTTTAGACTCCACAAGTGACAATTCCACATTTTTGCCACCTCTACCAGTTGTACTTCCTCCTAGAAGATCAACTAGGACTACTAAACCCCCAATATGGATGCAAGATTTTTACATGAGCAATATGGTTTCAACTACACTTTCACCCCTTGTTCCTCCAACCTCATCTCCTTATACTCCAACACTTCTTATCATGTTTCTTCTGTTTTTTTTGCTAGTCACATTTCTTTCCTGGCCAGTATCAGTACTTTTAGAGAACCAAAGAGCTTTTCACAGGCTAAGTCACATCCAGAATGGATCCAGGCTATGAACTTGGAACTGGATGCTTTAGAGAACAACCAGACCGGGACACTTACCACTTTGCCGCTTCGAAAGACTGACGTTGGCAACAAGTGGGTTTACAAGATTAAACACAACTCAGATGGCACTATAGACAGGTATAAAGCAAGATTGGTAGTAAAAGGCTATACTCAGGTTGAGGGAGAAGACTTTTTTTATTGTTTTTCTCCAGTGGCAAAAGTAGTAACTGTGAGGTTGTTTCTGGCTATTGCAACTGCAAATGGATGGCCATTGCATCAACTAGATATATATAATGCTTTCTTGCATGGGCATTTGGATGAAGAAGTTTACATGTTGCCACTAGAGAGTTACACTAAAGCTCTTCCAGGTCAAGTCTGCAAGTCGAAGAAGTCCTTATATGGACTCAAACAAGCTTCCAGACAATTGAATATGGAACACAGATTCAGAACTATGGTTTTAAGTAGTCCACCAATGATCCTTGTCTTTTTACAAGCATTATTGACGGCCATTTTACAGCATTGATCATTTATGTTGATGATATCATCATCACAGGATATAGTGAGGAGGTTATTATCAAAGTGAAGCACTATTTGAATGACAAGTTCACTATAAAAGACCAAAGTTTTTCCTTGGCATAGAGTTGGGTAGATCTCCTGAGGGTTTATACTTGAATCAAAGGAAATACATTTTGGATATCCTGCATGATACTGGTCTCCTTTGTAGCAAATCCACTAGTACTCTTCTGCCAAAAGGACATTAATTTTCCGATTCCCCTGGTCCATCACTGTCAGATTCTTCAAGGTACAGAAAGTTGGTTAGCCAGCTTTTGTATCTTCATTTTACCAGGCCATATATAGCTTTTGATGTGCAACAACTTAGTCAACATGTTCAGAACCCCTGTGAAGAAAATTGGACTGCCTTAGTTCATGTTTTGAAATACTTAAAAGGTACTGTCTCTCATGGATTATTCTTTCCTGCTGATACCTCTTTCACTTTGGAAGCTTTTAGTGATCCTAATTGGGGACCCCAATCGGCAGAAGGTCAGTTAGTGGTTATTGTGTTTTTCTTGGCAATTCCTTCATCTCTTGGAAGCCCAAGAAACAAACAACAATCTCATGTTCTTCTGCTGAAGCAGAATACAGGAGTCTCAGTTTCACAGCTAGGGAGCTCTTATGGATCAGTTACTTGCTTCATGATTTTGGCATCTCTTTACAGCTCCCGGTTCCTCTTTGGTATGACAACTCTTCAGTCATTTACATCACTGAGAATCCAGTGTTTCATAAGCGGACGAAACACTTGGAAATTGACTACCATATTGTCTGAGATCACTACAACAAGGGCTTCCTTGTGCCTCTCTACATTCCATCCAAAGATCAACTCATCGATCTTTTCACGAAATCTTTGCCACATCCACAGTTTGCTTTGTTGCTGGACAAGTTTGGCTTGAAGAATTTTCTTCAATCTCCAGCTTGAGGGGGGATGTACACATGTATATACTGTATAGTTGCATATAAATAGTATGTAAATACTGTATGGATGAATGTGCATAATTGTACAGAGTTACAGGGGTCAATTGTATTTAATTGTATAATATAGGGGTCAATGTAGCAGAATCGGTGTTAGTGCATCTGGACAGTATTTAATGTCCGTATCTTTGTCATTTTAGACACAATTAATATAGAATAAATTAATACAATTTTATCTCAAGATTAAACCCTAATCAGTTCTTCGATTCAGCTCAATTCATTTCCAATTTCTGATTCCAAATTTGTAGACATAGACTTCATCCAGCCACGAATCCATGTATCCTATTGTGACAAAGTCTAAAATCCTTTCAACAACTTTCAGCGAGTGAGATTCAAAAACAACTTTCGAGTTGGGGATTTCACTCTTAAAATTTAATGAGATCCATTTATAATAATTTTATTGTTACAATAGGAGATAGAATTATTTTGTAGTTTTTTTTAAAAAATAAATAAGTAAACAATAAATTATTGAAATTAGAAAATTCATGCTGAACGTATAAATGGGCCAATTAATAATTAAAAAAAAAATCAAATTGGCTTTTGATTTTGGGCTATCTTTTTTACTTTTCAGGGAGAGAATTAAGTTCGCATATCTCCCCCAAATTTTCCCGCTCTTCTTGTGTGTCTTTCCCCGCCATTGTCACTCTTAAAAAGAAGTCCTCAAAATGGCGCAGAATCGGGTCATTCTCTGGTCAAATTAGGTTTATCTTGTATGTACACCGGAGAGAACATTTATTCTGTCAATAGTCAATACCCCAAATTTAACCCTAGAAAAAAAAATGAATTTTGACTGGCCTAGCTCAACTCCATTCTCATGAGTTGACTTTAAGCCATATAGAAAAACAAGAAGTCGTCAAAATTCAGGGAAAAATTCAGAAGGCGAAGAAGAGAGAAACAGAGAAATGTTACTGGGTAGAGTAAGAAGACCTTCAATTGCTTCACTCGAAGCTTTGGAGATGGAAAGATCGTCTCCTAAGATTATCAAAGACGACCATCTCTCCGTCTACGGTACTGTTTTTTTTTTTTTAATTACTGTTTATGTCTTGACACCCCTTCCCATTTTGATAAATTCGTCGCTTTTCTGTGCTTTTATTGCTTGTTTCATGAAGGAATTGGTGTAATTGTTCAAGAACCTTTTGGTATTGTGGACGAATTTTGATGGGTTTTTGTAAATCTTCAAGATTTTAATTGGCTAGATTGAACTGGAAAGTACTGGTACTCTGGGGAATGAATGATAGGTTCAGGGCTTTTTGATTTCCGGAAGTGGCAATTCTTATATTGTGTTGTTTTGTCTCTGCAATTCTTGCGGATTTATTATTAGGAAAAGTTTTGACTTTTACAAGGTTCTTGGGTTTTTCTGTATCGAATTAAATTGCACTTGATTTGACTTCATTTTCTTTGATCTACTTGTTTAATTATGTTTTCCTGGGAAAATTAACAAATATCTGGATAGTTATTAGAATGTTGCCTGTTCTGGGATGGCACTTGGATGGAAGTATTGTTGTTCCTAAATTAAGTGAACAGGAAAGTATAGATGCGGATGTGGATTGTTGTCGTGGGCTTCTGCCCAACTTTTGTATAAACAGCATGTATTATGGTCATAGATTGGGGATGACCATGATTAGGGACGAGAGAGGGAGAAATGAGGAAGCAAGATGAAAAATACAAGATTTATCTTGGAATTTTCTTTCTGAACTGATTTGTACTTAGAGTAGTTTAAGTTTTAGAATCTGAGGAAGGAGAAAGTAAACTACATTAACTTTTTAGGATGACACTTTTCTGCTTGGAATAGAGAACTAAAACTGGAAGTGAGCACTTATAGTGATTACAGGATGTACTTTTGTTTATAGCTATCACTTGAATATTGGAAGAATGTTGAAAATTCCAGTAGCAATACTAAAATGAATCAATCTTGTGCTTAATGAAAATGAAAAAATAAAAAGAAAGAAAAAGGTTAGGGCTTAAGCTCATTTTTGGAAATAATTTAAACAAAATAAACTCTACAATTACAAGGGTCCTTTCTTTGAAGAGTGGAAGAATAAGTATAGTGGTTTGTTTATCATGCATGTAACTGCTAAGATTCGAAGTTTGGAAGGTTGTCTCTGGACAAGCAGATTAGGCTGATTTCGATGACCTCCTTTATGTATAGTATGCGTGGTTATTCAGGGCAGGACTATATGTGATGAATATATTTCAAACTTTCATCAGTGCCAGATCAATCTCGCAGGAAAGGGCTTGATTTCTAATTTCAAATTCTTTTATTTTACAGAGTCTACACTTATGAAGCTCAAAGAAGGTTCTCAGCGTTGTCAAACCCTGAACCAGACAGATGCCATGAGTACTGATGTCAGTTGTGTGACAGCAACTGATTCTACTGAATCATCTAGTGCTGGTTGTTTGTCCACTGGTTCTTTTAATTTCGTTGGTGAAGAAACTAATTCAGGGAGCTCCCCAAGTGAGCAAAGGAATAAAACCCCATCTGTTCTGTATCTGTTTTCCAGATATAAGAGTCTAAAAAGTGACCCGAGATCATCAGATGATAAAGTCGTGCTGATGGAGACAGAGTGCTCTTCTGCCAGTGCTTCTCCCAGTTCTAGCAATTCTGAGTTAACGACCGGTCAAGTACTGCAAATCTCAGAAGAATGCTTTGACTCTGGTATGTACAAGTATCAAGAAACGAGCTTGGCACAGCAATGAAGAGAGTTTACAGTATTGCCAGAAGTATAATTACTAAGAAATGGATTTCTTTTCGCAAACTAGAGTTCTAATTCTTTCGTGGAGGAGTATTTTGGCTTTTTTTTTTACTTTCTCTGTACTATCTCATTATAGTTGTTGAGTAGACAGACAAATGGTTCGTCGATTTGCTCATCAACTTTATTAAGTCGACGAAAAAGTCGACGCCATAAATTTGTTTTCCAAAACAAATACTTTCCACTTTCGTGAGTCTTATGTTAATACTGATACATTAATTAATTTCTGATGATAATGCCATCAAAAAAATTGTAACAATCACAAACTTTGCCTGCCAACAAGATTGTTCACAATAGAGTTGAAAATGGCTTGCAGTTTCGTGGTGAAGAAATGTAGTAAAAGAAAGGTTAGATATATAGCAGAGATAGCTTATAAGTTGCCAAACGAGATCAGAACTACTTTTATGTATGATGATTCCAGTTGCAGGTACTATATATAATGTTAACGCCAATTTCTTCTTAGGCATAGGCCATTGGATGAAGGCGGGAAAAAAGTTGGCTCTTTGTTCTTTTATTCCAAACGAAACGAATTGCTATGTTTCAGTTTTAAAAGCCCATTTTGGTGTTGATTTCGGCATATTTTAAACAAACCTCTTTTGCAAACATATACTTTAACTACTTTTGTATGATCCATAAAGCATATGCTTTTCCACCATGGTGTTATTATCTTTAGTAATTTTTTTAGTTCTTCCAGGGTTCAGTTTAGACGAATAAAGCTAATCTTAAGCATCATATCTTGTAAAATGGAATCGTCTAGTCAGCTGTGTGACTACACTTTGTCCAGTTTCTTATGAGCACTATCTCGGGCCTACGCCTTCTTTTTTAAGTCCAAAATTCTGGTAAGCACCCTTCTTTCATGGTTTTTATATTTTCCTCTTTCATGGCTACTGAAGTATTGTGGGCCTAAAACTTAGAAACAAAGCCCTGTATTTTATTTCACTGGGAACATCACTTGATCTTGAATTCTTGATCAAGTTGTTGATCATGAATTTCTGTAGAGTGAAAGTGCAGGCCTACATAGATTATTGTTGTTAATGAGAAGCCTACTTAGGTTGTTGTTGCTCCTCCGGGTACATTATCACTAAACACCGCACCTCGTGCGATGCACCTTCGCTAGTATATATAAAAGACATATGTAGTTACTATACAATCACTTAATAAACTATTTAGATAATTGCTTCAAATTTTCCAATGAGCATCTGAGATGCAAAATTAATAATTGAACCCTTATCAAAATGACCAAATTCAAGTTTGGAGTTTTTCCTTATTCAACACAATCCTAAAACTAATTGGAGCAAACCCACTCCACTTATACGGAATAAATCACAAAAATAGTACTAAACGGGAAACAATGAACCAAGAACAGAGGCTTAAAAAAAGTATATCGATGGTTGGCTCCGGCGTCAAAATTCATTCAGCTCTTCTCTCCCGTTGCTGAGGTCTTTAGAAATTAGGAGGAGGTTGTAGAAAGGTTGGGCAGTGGGCACGGACCAGTGGGAGAAAGAGAGATCGAAGGGGTTGAACATATATTTCTTCCATCACCGGCAACCGAAAGGAGGAAGAAAGGAGAAGGAAGGCGGAGAAAGGCTGGAGACAGCTCCAACAAATTGTTTGGAGACACGTACGTAAAATTGACAGGCAACGGCTAAGAAACCGTGCCACAAATGAGGATTCCCGTTTTATATTACTTAGATACATTTTCTACGGATCTCTACTAATTTTAATACCAGAATGTTAACCTTTATATTACAGATTTGGGGTTTTGTAGGTCAACACCGACAGTATTTTAAATTCATGAAAAAGTATATGATGAATTTTAATTAGCTATCCGTTTATAACGGGTATTTTTTATTTTATTAGTTTTGGCAAAAAAAGATTACGGGCCCTTCTTTCTCAATTCCCCTCTAGGTCTACTGAGCGTAAGGAACGGCACGGCACTGTCCAAGTGTATAATGTATAACACGTTTCAATGTTTATTGTTTTCGGGAACTATAAGGTGTTCTAAGTGTAGCGAATAATTTCCTGTTGCGCTTACACGTATTTCTTACATTGAGCACAAGTACGTTTTTTTTTTTCCCAATTCCTTAGGCACCAATATGCATCTTGATAGTTGAATGAAACTTTCACACCAAGAACAAAATTATCATTGAGAATATTGAGGCTGGCAGAGACTTGATCCGTTGATTCTTGGTCTTTTGACCTAACAAAGTTACTGGTGGTCATCTCCTTCCTCAAAATTACATTTCAAATTTCTCATTGTATTTTTCATTTTTCATTTTTAACTTAATTTATATACAAAATGTAAGTTTCTTCCCCGTCTCAAAATGAGGATAATGTTTTATTGATATTTTGGGACAGAAAAAATACAAATAATGCCATCATCCAACGCCAGCCTTCACCCGTCCCCATCCCGTAATCACTGACTTTTTTTGACAGAAACGGACAAGATCACAAGAAAAAGGAAAGGAATGAAAAAGGAAACAGATGTTAATCCGTAAATGTAAGGTCATCGTTCATATGGACGGTCAGGAAAAATGGTTAGTTTTTTCAAATGGCATATCAATAATTCAATATGACCATATAACATTTTTGTTTGTCGGGCATTTCTCGGTATTTTGTGACCTGTTGTCACCTTATCGAGATGGTAGAATGGAATGGTGTTGTAATCCTTTTCATTTTGTTTGGTTAGATTTTTTTCCAATAGTAGTAATCAATTAAGTACTCTTAGCAACTTTTTTTTTTCATTATAAAATGTCTTTCTATAATATAATAATCCCAAGTCCTAACAACACTTTAAAGTTTAAAAAACTAATTTAAATTATCATCGGAGGAGATTCCAAGAGTATTGGAATCAGAAAGTTAGTTATATGATAATAGATCAAGGCAAACATTTTCTGAATTGATCATGTCATCTTAGTCCGAGTTAACAATTAATAAGGCATTTTGAAGACTTCAAGTCACTCTTCTATTACCACCATTGCTAGAAATTTTCAATTTGATGATACGATTATATGATGCAATGCATGGTTTCCTCCCAAATCCGTGGTCCATACTTCTTTTTACTACGTAAACGACCAGTCCTTTACTCGGTCGAAAGGTATTTTGACCATTCAGTTGAACTAAATAACTGAATGAATTGTTAAAGTCAGAATGAAAAAAGATATATTCCCTTTGTCCCATAATTATTGTCCAGTTTGGATTTTCATTTTTAGTTTAATTTGTGTTAGAAGTGAAAACCCAAACTGGACAATAATGTTGGGACGGAGAGAGTATAATTTTAGTTGGAATCAAGAGGAAACCCTCCAATGAATTTTTGGTGTGTGTTTCTACTTTCTTGACGGGGCAAAGAAACACCAATGTTTGAAATAGTTGAGCCTCTTCATCGATCGTTCTGACCTTTTCTGTTATTAGATTAATTGCAGGTAACTAATGCTAGCGCACCGCCCCCAAAAAAAAAAGGGAAAAAAAATTTACCTCTTATTTATTCGACTCGAATAAAGATCAATCAACGCATTCATTAGGGGTGCTTCAGATCTTCCGGATTATTATTTACTATTGCTATCCCTATCTTTATAGGATTTCTTCATGGTTATTATAGAATTTAACTCAATAGATCTAAACCTAGATCGGTTGAAATGTAGTGAAGGCAACAGTTTAATACAAAGTCTTTTTTCTGTCAATTGTTGCTGAGGTTAATACAAAGTCTTTTATTTAAAAAAATTATATATACAAAACTATTGATTTTTTCCGAAAAGAAAAATTAAAGAGACAACCGCGTCAAAGGGGTTCAGAAAATAGATGTAAAAGATATGTTGAGAAAATTTTCTAGAGATTAAGAACGTCACATGCAAGCACAACAACTCAGCCACTAAAATTTAGACAAGACTCGCACACGGTAGTTGAAGAACAAGAGAGATAATGACAAAATAAACAAATTAATTAGGCAACTCAAGAAATTAAATCCGAATTAATTCTCTTCTGTTGCTAGATGAGAGTTTTTTTTTTTTTTATATATAATTTGAAAAGAGACACGTATTATCTAGCTGATTGCGAAATATGTACACCTGAATTTTGCAAGTCAACAATATTAATCAACTTTGATTGTTTTTGTTCCTCCCATGAAACTGCTGCAAGCCTGCAACACAATGGCCAGAAATTTAATGAGATTACATTCCCAACGGAAAAACAACGAAATCACGGAAATAAACCATTCTACTAGTACTCGTTGAGTAGAGGACGTAAATATAAACGTCAAAGCTAGCGGCATGAAATTGAATATTGATGGAAATAATAAATGTATCTTGTGAAATGTAATAAAAACCCGTATTCTCTCCGTTCTGAAAAGATTGTCTAGTTTGATTTTTCATTTTTAGTACATATTGAATTAAAAAGTAAAAATCCAAAGTGGACAATAATTTTGGAAATAGAAGAATCCTATAATTTTCTTTTTCCAAAAAGATAAAAACGATCATTTTACAATTTAACGTGTATGGATTTAGAATACATTTCATAACTGAAAAAAGGAAATTACCATTCCTCCAAATCAAGTCGACCGGCATTAGAGTTCTTAAAATTGTAGAAAAATAGCAAATGAATCCTTTTCTGGAAATAGTTCTGGGACGAAGGTTGGCTCGGAATTGAAGATACTACTTATATGGAGAAGCAATCAAGTCAACAAAAAACACCTCATTTATTGACTTGCTGAACTTGATCGAATAAATTGAAAGCACATAGAATTCAAAATTAAGGGAAGTGACATGCACAAAAGAATGAAATATCACATCACAATTTCACTATCATTTTTTTTGGAATGAAATGGTTTGCAGCTTCTTCTGCTTCATTTCCATGTTTTTACTTTTTCTTTTGACTTTTAATATTTGTATTTACATTTTAATCAAACAATGAATTTTTTTTTTTCTCTTTGTATTCCATGGTTTCTTTAATATAATTTTACAAGCGCCTAACTACAAGAATGGGGTTTATGGGAGAAAGGGTACTGCATTTATGTAGACTCGGTGCTTACAGGTTTTTCTTCACATGATTCAAATCGTAAGATCATAATTTTTATTATTTTGAAAAGTATTGTAGTTATTGTGATAATTGATTGTATTTTTAATAGTTCACATTAACTTTTAAACTTTATATTATTTATAATACAAATCTCAATTTTTATTATTTTTTTAAAGGACAAGATGAGTATTATTTAGTCAAATTTTATTATTTTTTATTATTTCTCCCTTTGATCAAATATAATGCTTAGTCGTCCTTTCTTGTCTTATATATATATATATATATATATATATATATATATATATTTTTAATTATTTCAGATTGATTTGATGTAAACCCTTTAGAGGTTCATCTCTCACGCTCCGATCCTGAGAGAGATCAAACTTGCGTCACAATGAATAAACGTTCGCCTCTTGAAATAATCACTTTGATTATCATTATTAAAAAAATAAGTATTCATTTTTTCAAAAAAACATAAAAAATTAATAGTACTAAATTATGTAATTTGGGCTGTTATGAGTCTTTAAATCATAGCCAATCAGCCTATTTAACGAGTTCGTCCTTAATTTAACCGGTCCTTGCAAGCACTATTTAGTAATTGGAATCCTTAAAACTCCATTAAAATACCCTCCCTATCATTGGATCATCAAAAAGCCACCGGAAAATATATCTTTGGCATGCACCTTATATTTGTTTGCTTGCCAAAAATAAAAAAAAAAAAAAATTGAAGCTCTTATACTCCCTGTCTCAGCAAACATAACAATTAAGACAAAAGTTTATGGAATAAAATTATCGCATGTGAATCTTAAAAAAAAAAAAAAAAGGTCCGTAAATAGTCAATCAGAATGCTCTAGATACAGTAGTTCGTGTCTGTATCCACACCTTTTTCTTTCTTTCTTTTCCTCCCCTTTTCTTTTGAAGAAGACAAATTAAGAAGTAGACATACATCTCTTAAATCAGAATGGACGTCTTCAATTTGCCCGCCATTGTTGAACAAGGTGAGTGTATGGAGAAAAGTAATTCCAATATTTTTGCCTGCAAAAATTATGATCATATTATTGTATATTTAAAATTATATACTTGTTATTATATCATACTACAATCATCGTTTATTTTACACCAGCGCAAAATACCTATAAAAATCATTTCATGAATTAATTTTTAAGGAAATAATTTGTTTTAATTCATACCATAAATTTTAACAAATGTGCAGTTATAGCTACCACACCTCAATATATATATATATATATATATATATATATATATATATAATTCACATACATCCTGCATCCTCTAGAAAGCAGGTGCATGTTGCCTTCACAAACAATTGTTGCGGTGTGCTACATCATTTTATTATTGCTTTGGTGTTGTATTTTTTTATTTTATTTTTTTGTTTTTTCCTTCAAAAGATTTCGTGCTTATTTGGACGTCAATTTACATTTCATTTTATCACTTAAAAGTGAAAAATGTTTCAAATTGAAAACTAAATGGGAAATAAAAATATTGTTTGGATGTTGGTTTTGAAAAAAAGTATTTTGAACTACATTTTGAAATATCAAGTACAAGTCATCACTAAACAATTAAATACTGTCAATTATAGGCACTGCAAAATTTTTTTTTTCCAAAAACAATCACTCAACAACGGAATCCTGCCAAATTTGTCACTGAACTATTTGTAGTTCTAAAATGGTCATTACACTAACAAAAAATGTTTCAAGTTGGAATTTAAAATGTAAATCAGAAAGTTGTTTGGATGATGTTTTCTTTTCCATTAGATTTTGTGTTTAAGAGGTAAAATGAGTGAAAATATAAAATGAGCTATTGTCCAAATAAGGCCGAAACGTTGCTTATTCTTTGCTTATTTTATTTGCATTGTATATTTATATGTATATATATCTATATCTTTATCTATCTATCTATTATATATATATATATATATATATATATATATATATATACATATACACTCTTATAAAGCGAGAGGGGCCAAATCTACAGTAATTTGGTCGTTGGCCCCTCTTTGTATACTACTTATGAACTTAGCTAGGTAAATGTAAAAAATTTTGCCCACTTATATCAAACTTCCAAGTGCAGCCATGTGTCAATTTTGTCATGCTAATCATTTTTTGTGTTTAGATCTAGAACTACATAAAATCAATGAGCCAACAAAAAAATTTAACACTTTCATACAGAAAAAAATTTAATTTCCCCCACTCTATTTGTCTTCTGTATCTAACATACTGTAAAAACGGGGGTGGGGATCTACATGAGAAGCTTCCAATATTTTTTTTTCATGAATATCTCTACTTTAGTTATTGGTTCATTTAATTTTTTTGATAAAAAGTAAAATAAAAAGTCATACGTTTTATTGTAACTTGTCAAATTTTATTTTTCTTAAACCCGTCAAGGTGAGTGTATGGACAAAAAACACCTCATTTATTGACTTGCTGAACTTGATCGAATAAATTGAAAGCACAGAGAATTCAAAATTAAGGGAAGTGACATGCACAAAAGAATGAAATATCACATCACAATTTCACTATCATTTTTTTTGGAATGAAATGGTTTGCAGCTTCTTCTGCTTCATTTCCATGCTTTTACTTTTTCTTTTGACTTTTAATATTTGTATTTACATTTTAATCAAACAATGAATTTTTTTTTTTTCTCTTTGTATTCCATGGTTTCTTTAATATAATTTTACAAGCGCCTAACTACAAGAATGGGGTTTATGGGAGAAAGGGTACTGCATTTATGTAGACTCGGTGCTTACAGGTTTTTCTTCACATGATTCAAATCGTAAGATCATAATTTTTATTATTTTGAAAAGTATTGTAGTTATTGTGATAATTGATTGTATTAAGCTTTAAACCATCACACAAAATTTCCTCTTGATAAATTACAATGCACGAAATATCTAGTTCTAGCTAGAGCCATGCCAATGTACAAGGATTGCATGTCGTAATTGCACAAAATGCAATAAATAATTGGTCAAAAAAATTTGATGACATTAGGGAAGTCTACAGTTGTTTTGTGCGGTATGGTTTGTGTCACGGAACTGATGGCTTTGCATTCATTTTCATGATCAAAATGTAGAAGATATTTTTCTTTTTTTCAATTTTTCTAGCGTCTATGGATGATTAATTTCAACTGAATTGTAAGTGATTCGTAAGTGTTACATATGACTATTTAATTTCAATCCGATTGTCACTTCAATGGTGGAAATTGGAAACTCCCCCAAGTAGGAACTATTAATCTCTTTTTCTCTCTCTTCCGCTGGAAAATCAGATTCTGTTTTTTCAAATAACAGGTGCCGTCTTTGACCAGCACCTGCCTTATTACGGATTGGCCCCCAATTAATTAGTACCATTACCCTTGTGATTCCTCCCTCTATAAATTTGCTTCACTTTTTTTCCTCCACTCAACCATAATATCTCACTATACTACATTCTACATAATACATATACATCAATATACTAAATTCTCATATTCATTTCTTCGTTCCACCAAAAAAAGAATGGCGAGCGTGAAAACACTAGCTCAATCTCAAGACCTCAAATCCCTCCCTTCCGATTATACTCATTTCAAGAATCAGCACAAATCCGTGGAAGCCAGCCCTGAGGTTGGCATTCCCGTCATCGATTTCGCCCTGCTCACCTCATCCAACCTTGACCACCGTGCCAAAGCCATCCATGACCTTGGCAAGGCCTGCGAGGAATGGGGCTTCTTCATGGTACGTCCCTCTGAAATCCATTATTGAAAATATTGAGTCACACATCAAAAAATTAAAAACTAGTACTCTTTTCGTCTCGAAATTATTATCCAGTTTAGATTTTTATTTTTTGTTAAAAAATCGAAGTTGGACAATAATTTTGGGAGCGGAGAGAGAGTATATCAGTTAGAAATTTCATTCACAGATGGTCAATTTTTTTTCTCTCAAATTTGCATGTAGTTTGCAGGTGGTGAACCATGAGATTCCGGAAACGCTGACGAACCCGTTGTTCGATGCATGTGATGAGTTTTTCGATCTCCCTGAGGAGGAGAAACAGAGGTTTCAGACCAAGAATCCGAGGTTTCCCTTCATGGTCCGGTCTACCATCGGGGCTGAGCATGAAAAAGTCTTGTTCTGGAGGGATTACTTCAGATTTTTCGTCCATCCCGAATTTTATTGCCCTGATAAACCCCAACAATTCAAGTAAGTGTGTCTCTTTTCTTTTCTTTTCTTTTCCCCTTCAAACATCTTCGTAGTAATGTGTTGTCGTCCGTTATTTCTTGTTTATTCCCGGGATGGGATACCGGTCTATCGGAGACACATCATTGAGTTATTATTTCATTACATAAATTTGTATTTTTTTGGTATATTATGCAACTAGTGTCCGAAGTCATTATTCCGATTATTTTGGATTCGATCCGAGTAGTTCCCTTTTAAGACAAATGTTTTCCAACAAATATTTTAGTCACTATTACATGCTCATGCTCGGATTCAAACCTGAATCATAGTTAAACTGGCCCCAAACATTTACCAAGTTTTTGTTTCTTCCTAGTTCGACACGAGTAACTAATGAAGGAAGAGAAAGCGAAATTGGATGCTACTGTTTAATTGCAAAATGTTAACTGTAGAGGAAAGTGATAGTCAAATTGATCAAACTTCAAAGCCAAGATCGACGACTGACGACTGACGAGACTCGTTTGTTTGCAGAATAAAAAACCAAAACACTAGTTGCTCTTCTCAAATCTTTTGGCAGGCGCTACCCTTACAATTTATATAATTTAATTATTTAGTGTCAATTTCCTTAATACTGCACAGAGTTTATATAGTACATACTACTATATTCTTATGTTTATTTTAGTTTTCATCAAATTAAGTTCCGCAATTTTGGGAAAAAAATAAAAGAATTTCTCAATTTTTGACTATTTATTTGTTGCTGAATATTTTTTTTTTTCAGTGATCTTGTATCGGAGTATGCTGAAAAAACCAGAGTTTTGGCAAGGAAATTACTCCAAGGGATATCACAAAGTCTAGGACTGGAAGAAGATTACATTGAGAAAGCCATGGACTTGGACAAAACTACCCAAATCTTTGCTGCAAATTACTACCCGCCATGCCCCGACCCGGAATCCGCAATCGGCATACCACCTCACACTGATCATGGCCTATTGACCTTTCTCCTTCAAAACGGAGTTGGCGGCCTTGAGATCCAGCACGAAGGAAAATGGTTCCATCTCAATGCAATTCCGGGCTCCATTTTCGTCAACACCGGAGACCAGCTAGAGGTGAAAAAAGAAAAAAGATCTAATTTGTAATTACCATACAATCATAATAAAATTGATCAATTCGTGACTCTTTTTTTTTTCTTTAAAATATTGAAAAAATGATCAGATCGTTAGCAATGGGAAGTACAAGAGCGTTTGGCACAGGGCTGTTGTGAACAACAGTAAGAAAAGGATTTCATTGGTTATCCCCAACGGTCCATCGCCGGACACCATCGTCGCACCGGCAGAACCACTACTCAAGGATGCTCCGGCAAAGTATTCTCCCATGGGTTACCTGGAATACGTGGAAGTTCAACGTACCACAAGGCCTCCTCAGAAGCCCATCTTGGACAGACTTAAGTTGTACTAAACGTTTTTTGTACAACCATAATAAAAGACATTTATTTTTTCTGCCACAATCCGTGATAATAATAACTGTAACGGTACTATTGCGTCCTAAGATATATGGTATGGTTAGGTTTAAGATGTCGCACTATTGTGTAGTACTAAGATGATTTGGTGAAACTATTGTTACCGGGCACGTGTCTTTGTCTCGTGCATATGAGAATTTGAGGTCAATAAATGAAGTGTTTATTTTATTATTTGTCATTATTTTTTATTTTTTTTCTGGGACTAACAAACCAAATTGACATCCCTTCTGCACGCCATTTTCATGCTTAATTAGATTTTTCTACCTTTTATGCTATCAACAAGTACTACCGTTAGATTTTTCAATTCCTTAAGTTAAATTACCATACCATTCAATGCCAACCTCATGGACTCCTCCATCTCCTCATGGATATCATTTTTTTAAAAAATATTATGTACTCGGTGTCTGAAATATTGTAAAAAATTTGCCATGACTACTATTAATTATAAAGCAAAGATTCTACATTTGTCAATCATTCAATAGACTATGATTTCTTTGATCTTTACTCTTTGACATCTTTGTTATACTCCATCTCAAGATAAATTTTTAATTTGGAATTTTAATTTTAATATTTATTTTATTCCGAAATAATTGTCCAGTTTAGAATTTATTTTTAATAGAAATACAATTTATACTAAAAATGAAAATCTTATTCCGTAACGAAAGGGATATATACAGAAGTAATAAGATATTTCTAGAGTCGCCTTCGATGGCCCTATCAGTATACCATGCTTGTGCCGATGGGCTTGGAAATTCCCCCATGTTAATTCAAAGGAACAATCTGTACGAAAGTTGTACAAATATATTTTTCGTAAGAGAAGGAAAAAAAATATTTTGAACAAACCGGTTACATAAATAAATGATACAACGAAATCTTTAGAGTTCAACAAAATTTAGAGTTTAATGCATTATTTACAGAGCGACCGGATTCAAAGCAAGATTTAAAAGTAATGATTCGTTTCTTGCAGGAATATAAATATTCATCAGACAACATGCCACCTATGCAACATCTCAACCTTGAAATCCCAGTATTATGAGGTAGGAGTAATTTGGTCAAGGATTTGGATTTCTCAAAAAGAAAATAAAACGAAAGGACTTTGGAAGCTTCTTCTCCTGTTTATAAAAAGGGAAAAATATATAAAATTCCTTCATTTCCGAGAACCTGGAAAATATACCTTAGAATTGGAGATTTTTTTTCTTTAATATTTTGGAGATATTTGAACGATTACAACATAAGTAAATCTTTCTGGAAAAGGATAGTTTTACTAGGAGGAGACTTTACACGCATGCACTTTTTATTCGGAATCTCCTATCTTTTATTTAGATTAATTACTAGGCGTCTGCTACCTCCTACTTCTTCTTTCAGCTGCGTACTTCTTGCATATGTGATAACAAAACTTCACGATTAAAAGTATAATGATCTAACTGTCAGAATACGATTCGATTTTTAATCGGATATCGTTGCTAATGGATAGAACACTACACATGACGCAAGTCCGCACGAATTGTTCAGTGTGAAAGTGAAACCTTTAATTTAATTCTCCGAGGGATTTTAGCGGGATCTGTTTGGTGACCCGACAGCAGGTGGCGGATCGGAGATTAAGCAAATAACGGCAGTACTTCAAGTCAACAAAACCCACCTTTATTTACCGATATAAAATTTGAATAAACTACGAAGAATGCACCAAGCTGCTTGGACTTTGGGGTAGCTTCATATCAACATTGATAGGAGATGAGGTAGGAGCGATTTCTAAAATCAAGTCCACTCTTCTTCTTGTTGTATTTCATCATTCTAGTGAAGGGCATTTCGTTCTGAAGATTCAGTCCATGGCTTGTCACGCTAGATTTTGTATGTAATATCTCCCAAACATTCTTTTTACTTACCTTTCCATTCATTGTTCTCAAATGATACTGTAAACTGGACCAATTTTTACACGCTCGAGAGTTTGAACTGTCATCTGCTTCATGTGTTATTTGTTGGAGCTGAAAACCTTAAAACTTTGTCATCATTTATTTACTTTTACTGGTATTCACTATTCAGAAGACCGATTAAGTAAGTGATTGGTTCACTGTTATCATCTCACAGATTCAGAATGTACCGAATCAAAGATAGTAGTAGAAAATTGGATGAATGTCTTCTATCGGTAGCCGGGGTAAAACTCTCCGTAGAATTTTGTACGGTTGAAGAGGTGGAAAAATTATTCCTTCGGCCATGGCTCTTGGACCGGAAAAATTGGCTGATCTATCCAAAGGTTGACATGCGTTGTCAATTTTACCCTATTCTTTTTCGATTAGCTAATATTACCCTAAGTTATCCAACCGTTAGCCGATTTTGTCTAATCGGCCAATTTCCGTTTAAATTAATGGAATTCTATTAGTTTTAATTACAAAAAATATCCTAATAGTTTTAAAAATTATAAAAATAACCCTAAAAATTTGTAAAAATAACCAAACAGTCTTTTTCACTTTTTATTTAATTTTTTCTGTTTTCTATTTCTTTTCACTATTTCTCATAACTATAAAAATATATTATATAATCTTTTAAGAAAAAGCCATTTTTTTTAAAACACTACTGTGCAAAATTTATAGATATGCATATTCGTAACTCATGGTTGATTTACATAAACATATTAATTTTTTAATAATATGGTTTAACAGTAATGATATTATTTTTTGAATCTATTTTTTTCAATCTAAAAAATAAGATTGTATCATGAAGCTTAACACTCTAAACACTAGATTGTACACTATATTTTTGTTTAGTAATTTTTTGAATTGGATAATACAATCTATAGTTTGTTTATTCAATTTGTAATAAATTAAAATGTACTAATATATTAATTTTTAATCTATGCTAAATGTTTTACTTTTTTTTTGTAAAAAATAGGTTTTTAGTAAAAAAAATATTATTCCTTAAATTGAGAAAAACGATTAAAAAAACTAATATCATTATTGTCAAGTTCTATTATTAAAAAATTAATATGTTTATTTAAATCAACCATGAGTTACAAATATACATATCTATAAATTTGCACAGTAGTGTTTAAAAATAAATAGTTTTTTTTAAAAGATCATATAATATATTTTTATAGTTATGAGAAATAATAAAAATAAATAGAAAACAGAAAAAATTAAACAAAAAGTGTAAAAAGACTGTTTGGTTAGTTTTACAAATTTTTAGGGTCGTTTTTATAATTTTCAAAACTATTAGGATATTTTTTATAATTAAAACTAATAGAATTCCGTTAATTTAAACGGAAATTGGCCGATTGGACAAAATCGGCTAACAGTTGAATAGCTTAGGGTAATATTAGCTAATCGAAAAAGAATGGAGTAGAATTGACAACGCATGTCAACTTTTGGATAGATCGGCCAATTTTTCCCTCTTGGACCGGTTTCCAGTCACACACTTTCACCTTTTTAAAACCAGAGATCTGCAAGGAGAAGAAACTAATATATCAGCAGACTACAAAAGAACTTGCATAAAGAAGTAAGATGTCACTCAAAGTCCTAGGCACAGAGATTGGTATCTAGTGTAAGAATCTCGAACTAAATCCAGAAGACAATAATGTTAGAAAGTCAGGTCAAGGCAAAACCTAGCTGAAGTACTATCAACATATTTCACTTCCTGAACATGTCTAAATTGAGAGAACATACACACAATGCTGTCGGATCATCAGTGCCAGATCAATTAGGAAGGGATAGATTTCTGAAGTTTGATTTCTTTCATTTTTCAGAGAACTACACTAATGATGCTCAAAGATTTCAAACAAGAAGTACACCAAGTAAAGGTGTTTTCCAAACACATGCGTCAAGCAAAACATGATCAGTTTTCATTTCGACTTTAGAATGAAACAAATAGTAAAATTGTATGCTTAATACTCTCCCTGTCTCTAAATGATTTCCGGGCGGAGGGAGTATCATTCAATCCAGTGCAGCACTTGCCACTCGATTCTACAGACATCATCTCAACTACTGAGTTTTCAGAAGCCACATTAAAAAGCCAAAAAATATTATATCTTCAACTGAATATATCATCAGCAGAACTATATGAATAAGATGCTGTCATGATCTAAACAATATTCATCAGCTAGTGATTGGTCAGTTTTTCAGTGTCCATTATGTGTGAGCAAAGTGTAACAGAATGTAAAGACAATGATAGAATAGATGATAGTCGAAGAACCACCAATAGAATTACGGACCCCTTCATTTAATATCGGTTATTTTCGGTAAACCAACATTATTCTCCATTTTCTTTTAAAATTAAAAGTATGATTTTCCATAATGTATAACACTTTTTCGACTTTCAACAATTGGGCTGGTCTTAAAACAAACATTACTTGGGCCTGGAAGATAATGGTGAGCTCAATATATAAATTAGATTTCACATTCATAATTCGGGATATTTTGGAGACTTTAATATTAGTCTCTAGTATTTTCTTGAATGAACAATAAAACACAATCTTAACTATAAATTTGTTACTTCAATACTAATAAAAGAAATAGTCATGTTATTAATCGCTACCTAAGAGGTTGGTCGAAAATTTTGCTATATATATGTCATTAAAGGCTACAGGTTTTCCAAAACAAATTATTCATCTACAAACACTTTTGAGTGCAAATTCAGTTTAGTAGTAGTTCTAGAGAAATGGCATCAACGCGGAGTTATAGCAAAGCTGCTGTTGATGTTTCTTTGCTTGTCTCTTTGGCTATCTACTTTTTCTAATGCTGTAAGTCTCATTTTCGGTGATTTTCTTAAAAAAAAATGTACACAAAAACTTATTTCTATAATATGTCATAAAAATTGATGAATAAAAAATTCCATATTCCATATTCCCTTTCTAGTGCTATTAACCATTCTTCTACAAATTCAACGCAGCAACATGAATGGTGAGTGGTGAAGGATGATGCTCCTCAAGACAAGGTGCAAAAATTCAATGACGATACATGTGCACACGTTGAATATTGTACTGCGATCAGATCCGGTGGCCCTTGTTATGAACCTAATACGTATAAAATTCATGGTTCATATGTTCTTAATATGAAATTGAGTCTTTCTCCTACTCATGATGATTGCGATGAGGAAATTGGCATCTTTACTTCTGTCGATCCATGTACGCTTCTTCTTTCAATTTTTTGGGGGTTTTCTTTTCTTTTTTTTTTTCAAA